TACAAGCACCAAAACAGTATTTATTGTCTGAATTTCGTTATAAAACCTGAGAGCTGATATTTTTTTCATATCAAAAGTAACCTGCTCTGTCTAGCCTGTCGGTGTCAGTGTCCTCTTTGCTCCGCGATTTTTCTCTGCGTGAGAAAATGGATGTGTGGCGCGAGACCGTGTGAAAGTGTCAATTGCGTGAGTCTCAAGCTGAATGCGTGAGAGTTGGCAGCCATGCGGGGGATAAATAGTCGGCAGCGTTCCTCCTTCCGCCGTGCTTCTTCTCCACGTGAGGATTGTTTACATTAGACTAGAGTGCGCACTGCATGCACACAGTGCTTATACATGTGATGTGGGGATTGTTTACATCAAAGTGCACATGTGTTTTGCGCAGCATATACGGATTGTTTTTTAAAGGGTCAGGAAACCCCCCTCTTTCAGCTCAAGTCTAGCTCACAATCTTTTTGAAAAATGCAACTTAAATGGGCGTGGATGGCTGTGAGAAGAGGTGTGGTATGGCCATCACTGTCATCGCCAGTATCCCATGCATATCGACTGTCACTAAAAGAAGTGATAAAACGTGAGGAAATGCTCGATTTTTTTATAGCTGGCAAAGTTAAAGTCTTATGAAATACGACACTTTATTATTGTCCTTTCAAAAGTAACTGAATGCCCTGCTATATTACCCTACAGTAATCGTAATTCTATTGAGAACATATTAATGTAGGCTACATGTATAATTATAATGTCATTATAAAATATATAGTTGTTTATAGACACTATAAATACATATATTAAAAAAATTATTAATCTTCCGCTTAAAAAAAACGTTCGGTGCATAGCCTAGATCTACGCGCCCCCTGAACCCCCATAATAAAGATGGCTCTGTGGAGGTGGATGACTTCTCATTTTAGACACACACACACACACACACACACACACACACACACACACACACACACACACACACACACACACACACACACACACACACACACACACACACACACACACACACACACACACACACCTCTGAAGGGATAGAAAAGTCCTCGGGACTTGGTACCGCATCACTCGCAAGACGCAACCTGCATTGGTTGTCAACAAGGCGAAGTCCACCATTCTCCACTTCTCGAAGCTCTGTTTGCGGCACACACGTTTAGATGTGTCCGTGGTTGCTGGAAAACCAACCGCCCAGAGCCAGAGTCCAGCCCTGGCAGCATCGCGGGGAAACATATTCAACCCAATTGGACTTTTGCACCACGAAAACAAACACTTGCGTGCGTCCCATGATTGCCTCTCTCATCTACTACGCGATATCACAATTTGACATGTCTAGTCTGTCATTGGAAAGATCCACGTGGTGTCATGAATAATTAAGAGACAGTGTCTTCTCATAGGATATGAAAACTCAGTCTCATTAATAATTATGAGACACCGATGAGTCATCAACGCACTCACAGTGCTCTGTCACAGCCTGTGACGTGGACACGATGAAGATTTTAAACCCGGAAGACGAAAAAAGCGGAAAAAAACTCAAATTTAACCATTTTAACCCTACTATTAAATCTAACAGATGCTAACATTGTCTTCAATGGTGTTCAACACACATACCTCTGTAAAAATCTCAGAAAATTTGGTTTGGGGTTTCATGACCCTTTAAGCGGTTGATGGAAAATAAGCTGATGCGCGTTCTAAAAATCTAAATTCGGATCTATTATTTTTCACGGTATTTCGAAGTCCCCGCGATAACAATATCATGCATATTCATTACCGCGATTTATCGCATTACCGAATACCGGCACATGTCTAATAATCACTCAAAATAAATGTGAGAAAATGTGCTCAATTGTCTTTAAAATAATGTCACAATGCAAATATTATTATCATTTGACCTATTTTGATATATTTGCAGCTCAAAACAAACATCTTCATGCTTTGCAGGAAAAGCCTGTGATTATTTTGGCCTCCTGGCGTATCAGTCAGTAATTAAGATTTTATGTAGGTGAACAACCGGCTGGTTCCCATTACCAGATGAGTTTAGTGCCAGCTATCCCATAGTGCCCTGAGAGTCAACATTGAGCTCAGCTGGTGAAGTGCATCAAGAGATTGTTCCCAGGTTTAGAGAACTTCTTTAGTCAAACTTCAACTAGAGAAGACCCTGATTTGGATTAAACTCGCACATGGATCTTTCTAAAGGAAAATTGTATATTTGGCTTCTATTACGGGATTGCAGCTATTAATGGAAAACTGGCCAATGGAAACATCTCCTGCAGTGATGTCATGAGGTGACAGTAACACAAAGCTGCTCATTTTTTATTAGAGGTCAAAGGTCACTCTAACACGAATCTCATTTGTTCTTCTTGGAGTCCGCGGCGCTTGTGTTGGCGGCGTCTCTCAGGTTTTGTTTGCAGAGAAAGCAGTGTACGCGCTAAAGAGACCCGCTGTGGAATCATATGGATCTAGACAGTTGTGAATTTTTAGGATTTTTCCTCTTAGCAGGAGAGGACACCCTCAGGAGCGCCTGCCAATCTGCTCCGCACTCGCCTTGATGCTCGGATCAGTCCACTTTATGGTCAAATCCACAAAAGTGTTTGGATTGTGTGGTGATGGATGTGTTTGGATTTCATATTTGTTTACTGTCAATCAAGCAGCAAAAAGGTGGGATAAAAAATTATTTCTAGAACTTTTCTGAGCTGTGACTTACAGAGTTGGGAAACTTCAAAGAAACTGTAATTTCTCAAAACACAATCCACACACACACACACACACACACACACACACACACACACACACACACACACACACACACACACACACACACACACACACACACACACACACACACACACAGTTTGGACAGACACACACACACACACACA